AGAAGGAATGGGGTTCTATTAACTCCCAAAAATATCGCGAGAAGATAGTTCCTCTTATTGATGGCATGGTCTCGATGAGACCTTGGCTTTCTGTAATGCAGGATAATGCTCCTGCCCACACAGCCGCAATCACAATGGAAGATATGAGCCAGAGGCTCATTCAACCGATTTCCTGGCCGGCCAACTCGCCTGATCTTAACCCGATTGAAGCTGTTTGGAATAAGATGAAGGATTACACCCAGCGTCATCATCCGAATCTGGGTTGCGGAAAGCAGCGAACTAAAGTTATTCTCTGCAAGATTGTAAAGGAGGCTTGGGATTCCGTGTCTTCCAAAGATCTTGTGAGACTCATTCAGAGTATGCCAGCAATATGTCAGGCTGTGATACATGCGGATGGGGGACCGACCAGATATTAATGCCTGAAAATATTCCAGCCACATGTTCAGATCTAAGGTTAGGATAAGACTGGCTCTATTTTGTAATTCGGAAACCTTTGAACTCTTGTAAATAAGATATAAAGTCAAGCAGCAAAAATGCACAAATGTTATGCAGCCGATCATTATACAAATTAGGTTTAGTACGAAGGAAAGACCCACTGCAAACTATGATGTCCAGATAAAATCTGCCATACAAAATTTTCAAAAATTTGCACTAATATAGGGGCTAACTCCAATATGGAAGGTGACTATGCCTAAGGCGTCATAGTTAACACGCTAAAAACCCTGCCAAAGCCCCACTACAAACTTGACACCGTGGCACCACGGTACACTCTTTCGGAACTTTTCAAGCATCTCATCACCATCTTGGCTTATTTTTGGGCCGCGATTGACGGTGAGGCATGAAGGTAGAAGTCTTTCCACAATTTACACTTAGGACCGCGAAGAGTGATCAGTTTTTCGAATTTGCCCGGCTGCTGCAGACCTACGAATAGTCTTCGCCATGCCGATTGGAGATAATGTGCGGTAAAATTCCCTTCCTAATCACGGGAATGTGAAACTTTTGGAATGATGTGCTGTCCTTGTTATGTAGGCAGCTAAAATATACAGTGCCTCAAGGTTGGAAAAGGTAAAACTTCAAACTGGGCTAGCTCGCAATAGGTTAGACTGTCCCTCCTCCTTACTCCGCTCGCCATGAAGTATGGTCCACTCGTCTCCTCTAACATTCGGTTAGATAATCACATTTTGAACGACATTTTTGTCTGACTTATCACAGACCCAGCAACTTATCATCTCTATCAATTCATCCTCACTTCTAGCAAACTATGTCTCTCGATGCTTCAGAAACTAAAGTTCGCAAGCATCTAACTCGCGATCAATGTATTGAAATAAGAACATAAAGAGGACTTGGCTTGACATTACAACATATATCCGACGAACTTAGCTTCACAAGAAGGCAAGTGTAACCTACTTGTGCTCGAGAGACAGAGAATTCTAAGCCTCGCAAAAGATGCTTATCCAAATTAAGCGCAGAACAAGTTGATGAGCTTGAGGCTTTCGTCCGGGAATCTACTGAAAATCGACAGATGTGCTATTTGGAACTAGCCATGGGCCCTTCAGCCACTGGGGGGGAGCAGTGAACGTTTCGTGTCTAATGCACTCAAAAAAAGAGGTTACAGCAGAAGCAATGCTCGGAAGAAGCCTCCGTTAAGCGCGGTGAATAAGTAGAAAGGATTGGAGTTCGCCCAATTACATTTAGATTGGAGCGATGAACAGTGGAGTCGCATACTATGGACTGATGAAACCTAGCTATCGGGTTATTCTCATATAAAACCTCGTGTCACAAGAAAAGTACGTATAAATTCTATCAAAATCTTCTTCGAACTAACAGCAGAGTTTAGCCTGATGATGAGTTTGATGAGACTTGTATCGTGGCTCGCCATGCTTATGGGAACAGTTGTATGTTTTGGGGATCATTTACGGATAACAAAAAGGTCCATTCCTAGTCTGGGAGAAAGATTAGTGATCAATGAGGGTCTCATTCTATATGAAAGGATTTTGCCACTTTTGAATCAATTTCACTCGGAAAATCTAGAAATTTTATACATGCACGACAACGCACCATGTCACAAAGCGTACTCAACAATTGAGGCGTTGCGTGAAGTTGGAATAACGCCTATTAGATGGCCACCTTACTCTCCAGACCTGAACCCTAAGGAGTCATTGTGGAATATCTTAAAAAACCACATTCAGGTAAATAGTCTGGAGATAAATGGGGACAGGCTTGTGCGCACTGCCACGTTAAAGACATTGCTACAGGCCGCATGGGACTCTATACCATCTGAGGAGCTATTGTCACTAGTTGGTAGCATGCACGAAAGATGTGTAGCAGTGATAAATGCAAATGGAGGGTACACAAAGTATAAGAATTGAGAAGACACAAAACATGTAGTACGCTTTCATTTTAGTCGCGAGCCATACCGAGGGCTTCGATGTAGACCTTTGTAATACAGAGCAATAATTTTTGAAATAGATGTGTATTTTTTGAGAATATCATTTGACTATTTTCAATTTTGAATTTCAACTGAGGACCATTGTACTTTCCCAATTGAGTTCAAAACCATCCCCATAATTTAGACTTTCACGGAATGTCATTGGATAGTACCCCTTGCTCGCGTAACTAGTCGACAAATTAGACATGGGCCTGCATGAAGACTAAACCAATATAGTCAATATGTACAGGGATCTAGCCCCAGTTTTTTGACAATTTTACCTTTGCCATCCTTAAGAGACTGTACACGTCTTATGTCATCCTTGTAGAGGATGGAGAAATAAAAGTGGGTGGTGTCGCAATAGAAATGTGTGAGGCCGATTCAAGTAGATTGTGTAAAGATATTTGGTAAACCGTTAACTATGGCCTCATGACCTCGGATAAGATTCTGCCCTGGATCTAATCTAGTTGATCTGGTGATACGCTTCGCCTACTTCGGCGCTCAGATGATCACAAGCAGGGGACTGACAGACGCAGCCCTTCCTCTCTTCATGTCGGCATCTCCGCGACAGGTTGCAGCAGCGAGAGTGCCTGCGCCTGCATATGCGCGGCGCAGAACATGCCCCTGATAGATAGGCGGTCCTTCGAAATTCCGGTGGCATCGTGTCTGCCCTGTCTTCGTTTCTTTCGTCGCCCAAGCTATTGCTGCATCAACCTCCACCCGGCCAGCCTTGTATAGTGGTCCAGCGACACTGCGTCATCCCGCAGCTAAGAGACGAGAACTACCCAGCGGGTCCTTCAAGCATGTAAGATCATATTTATGCCCGGCGATCCTCGACTAACACTCTGAGAGATGGGGACAAGGCCCAGTCTTTCCTGTTCAACAAGTGGCGAAGGGTCTGATGAGCTTACACTTGATTGAGAGATAAAATACTTTGATGAATTAGCCGCCCAAGGCCAGCGCTAATATAAACGCCTCAGATCATGACATTCCATTGGGGGAGAACTATTTGTGAATACCCACCAACATTCTATCGCTCCGTCCACCTCCGCCTTACAACGTTTACTTTGATCGAGGAACACATCCTTTCCAGCGCCGCCATGAATGTTGCAGGGATAGTTCTATGTCCTTATCATTTATCAAGCCCGTTTTCATGTCTAAGCAGAGGTAATCCGTGACACAATCAAGGCTACGCGGTGGCCACAATATTTAAGATGCTCTCAACCAAAGCTAAGGATTGTCAAGGGCGATGTTTTCTGCCAACTTCACGCTGTCTACCATGATCGACGGCGATGATCATCAAGGGTCTGATATATTCCCGCCTAGTAGATGACTACTTTTACCGAAAAGCGCATAAGTCGTGGGGTCCGAACTGGGTCCAGGTCGGCCAGTCGATCATGAGTAAAAAATGTAGGGCAAAAGGCCTTCCGAGTACAAGGCTTGAAAAGCTCACTTCTGGAGACCTTCGTGGTTGGTCAGGTATTAGGCATCAGCTTAACCCGGCTCATAATTCTTTGAACCTTGACCGCCAGCCTCAGCTTGTGGCGACTGACCCTCTTCTCGTAACCATGTGCTTCGTTCTTTAAAAATACCTCTATGGGCAGATTGTACCCCATGCGTGTGCAGCAGTAAGTTCCCGCTCATGGGCAGAGCCTACCGCGAGCTGCTTGGGGTTTGAAAAGCTCTTCGACCATCAGCTCTTCAACGCCGTACTCCAGAAATTGTCCAGTCTGTTGACCCTGGTTCGCCTTTCCGGACTATCGGGAATTGAAAATATTACAGCCTCGGCGCTTACCTCCGTCGGTCCGGCAGCCTCGGTACCGAGCGTGGATGCGAGGGACATGGCCAGCTCATCGTTGGCGCCGCTGAATCTCCTCGTCTTGGGAACAATATAGTGTTCAACGGATCCTAATAGCCATGTGAGCCGACTTGCCTTGCCTTGACGTTTACCAGCTTGCAAGTATTAATAGGAGATAATAAGGTTGGATGGAATTTGAATCAACTGAGAAGTTAAAGTGATTCACGACATCTGAAGTCTGAGAAGAAGTAAAAGATGTCAAATCTATTGATCCATGAATCGATCTACGTTGTACAGCTGTCGTAGGTTTCGTTCCTACATGCATTGACTCAGTAAGACAGGGGAGCTGTTTTCTTTAGAGTACCCTAGCTTTAATCCATGATCCCTTCACCTGGGAGTTTGAATACTACCGAGCTTTGACCCGACGCTCACACCTTCCCCCGATGACTAGGCGAGACTTGATTTCTAATTTGTTTTTAAATTAAAGGCTTCGGCGGGATTAAGGAGAAACGCCATGGAAGTGTCTAAATAAGGCTCGGTATCTCGGCCCTGCAATCCCCGCTCGTTGACCTCTCCGTACTGTCCAAGCGCACGAGGCTGTCGGATCAACGCCAAAATCAAAAAATATGTGTAGAATGATAGCGCATTACAATGATAACCCCTACCAATACCCCCGCCCCAGACTTGCATACCCTGACCTTACTCCCCAACCAGCACGAGTACATGCAAACGCTTCATAGTATAACACTTTGGATAATTTTATCGTCGTACACCTCAAGCACAAGTAAAGACTCCCCGAACTTTACCAGCCGCGTACTGATTCAGCTAGGTACCAATTAGCCACAAATAATGAGAAATTTGAAGGGTAGGATGGATAAAAGTACTTACAATATCATGTATGCTTGCATAAGTACCACAAAAGAGAATGATCATTCCAAGTACGAAGACAAAGGCGTTGGTAATGGAATGTAAGATATTCTCACGGGATTTCCAGGATCCCTTCTTGATCAACTTAAACCACATCCATGAAGGAAAGTAGAAAGTGAAACCCGAAACGAATAGACATGAAGATATGGACAGAAGATCGGAGAAGAAAGGTATAGATTCCGCAATTATCCAAGCGATGACAGTGACGAGGCTGACCATGCCTATCCAAGAGATCCATCCAGACCTGGTGTTGATAAACCGGTTGGGTGAATTTTTGTAGATGCGTCCATGAATATATTTCGTGACGACTGTTGTATTAATCGATCCGGAAATGAAAATGACCGGCAAGGCAACCCCGAATGCTATTTTAGAAAGTGTAGGTCCTGCCGAAAGAAGCGCCGGTGACTCAACACTGGAACCCACAAATAAGTAGATTAATATACCCGTCAAATTGTAGACAAAAATCTCAATACCACCCAGCACGTAGATCGACTTGGTATAATCTTTAGGGGTGTGCATCTCATCCATGAAAGAAAATTGGCAGACGGCGTACGAGTAGGCAAAAACTATGTTTCCGAGGCTAACAAACGCTTCCACAAAAGTTAGTCCCTCCCTAGGCCAGGCAGACCAGTCTGAGGCGGCCAAGCTTCCTCGAGCCTGTGCGACGCCGGTTCCAATAATAGTGATGCCTATAGCCAGAACAACTGAGACAAAATCAATGTAACCGAGTATAGCGACTTCGGCAAAAGAGGGAGGAATGGCAAGTAGTAGAAGAATGATGGCCGAGATTATTCCAAATACAATGGAGCAAGTACCGTGGTCCGTGATACTTCCGAATGCGATTGCGCCGGTCAAGCTATGTGATCCAACGAGAAATATGAGTTGAAGTGAAAACATTATTCCGACAAGCTCGTAACCAAACTTTCCCATGAGTAGACGTCCGGCATCGGCATAATGACTGATATGTGGGTAAGCTAGCTTGACTTGACCAACCACAAATGACGTGTAAATAGCGACGAGGCCAAGTGAGACACAGATGGTAACACCGAGAACCATCCCCAGGGAGGCGAGAGCTTGGGGAATACTGAGACTGCCTAACGCAATGGCCTCAACCACCATTATTACCGTCAAACGTTTCCAGCCCAATCGATGAAATTTGTCGCCCGGCCCATCGTGATTTCGCTTCTCAAGATCACTTGCGTCCATGACCTCTCCGATTTCTGCTTTGCTGTTGAGTATGCCTGAGCCGGACACGCTGGGCGCCTTCTCTTTTGTCACCGAGGTGTCCGGAGTCATGTATTCAGCCATGATAAAGCCCGTGGTTTAAGAGAAGGGGATCTGAAGGAGCGAGTGGTGAACTGGAGTAACTGCAGTGTGAATAAAACTGAACGATGGAGTAGATGATGAGGAATACAAATGTGCCTGGCGTCCGAAGATTATATACAAGTATGTGTTTGTACACCAGGGGGGCCTGAACATTAGCTCGATGGAGAAGGATGATGGAACTCAGCGAGAACTACCTAGTAACAGGGATTATAGGCTAAGAAACAAATGAATAAAGATAACACAAATGAACAAGAGATAAGTCCATATCCAGCCTAGATAATGTGGAGGATGCAGAGAGAGGCAGGAGCGGGAGAAGGGGGGAGGGGAAAGCGAAATGTTCTACTTTGTTTCCTGAGTGCCGCGCCCGGGACCGTCGGAAGGGTGGGGGTGAAGCTGAAGTGGGGCAGATAAGAGGGATAAGAGATAGAGAGGAATCCCATACGTTGTGATTTGTTGTTCCATGATAGTGGCGTGTGACGCGATTGCAGGGTGGCGCGTTGACGCGTTGGCCTGCTGGTGTGGCAGTCCTCCGTCTACGTGAATGTGAGGGGAATCAGCCATTGCCTCCTCTCCATTCATTGCACTCACATGGATATTCCTAGTCCCTGTAAAACCTACGTTGTTTGGTCTTTCGGTTTAACGCTGCACAAAGACTGAAAATACTCTCCCATTTTTCCACTCGTACTTCAGTCATACAGTGAATCATTCAAGACGTCTCACTCGTCCTACTACTAGGCTCCCTCATTTTGAAATTTCAATCTCACTTAGCTCGTCGTTAATCCTGAATAGTAGCTGCTTGTAGAAATGTTGATAAGTTCAGAGTTCCACATAATATCCCCCAGTATAATAATAGTGTTTGAAATCAGGACTTAGCAGTAAATTGCTTGGTATTTGACACTCGATTTACACCTCAACCGGAATTTCGTAAATTGGGCATCTCCAATATCTGCTGTAACCTAAAATCAAGATAGATAGAAAAAATTGATTTTGACGGATCGTTTTATAAAAATTTCTTTTTCATTCCCATTTTTCTAGGGCGCTTCCAAGGTTATTGCGTGTAGCAATGCCCGTTTCTTTCCGATAATTCGTATCAATGTCCCTACAACGTTTCTCAACTAAAATCGCGACGCTCGATTTAGTGAAAACGGAATCTATGGTAAAAAACAGCTACATTCATCGCTTGTATTTAAGATTCGAACATATTCTATGTATGGAAGTTCTTCCCTACCAGTATTTAATCTTCTAGGATCCTAGGTGTTGCTACTGATTCATCCCAGTACTGGTTGAAAAGAATCAAACGACTATAAGTAAACCTTGTGCACATTTGGTGAGTCCTCTCTGTGATTTTATGCCATTCCAAGTCCTAACGGCCGGGCTTATTTTATTAGTAGATGGATTTTAACCCAAAAAGGGCTCAGCGCTACAAACATTCGGTAGTCTTGCCGTAGTGTAGGCATATCTGTGCGCTTTTGATGGCCTGGCGAAGACGTCCCACGAGCTCTGGGAATGGAAATATCGAAGGCTCAGCCATCACAATATCTTCATTGCAGAAACAAATAACCCAAACAGAAATATACATTGTCTAAAGCCTCACCAAAGGATCGACACTATCGTTCTTCGGGTATTGATGTACATATTTTAGCACCGAATCTTTTTTTTAGTATATTGAGTCCTGTCATATAAAACAGCTAGTAAACGGATTGACAACCTAACCCTTATTCTAAAGATGAACGAGCCACTTGTAAAGAAAACCCAACACTAATAATAATTTCCTAATTCATGTAGAAGTAACAAAGTATTGTGTAAACTTTAGATTGCTTTTCGAAAAAAATTCAAAACTTATCTGGATATTTAGTATATGGGATGTTGCGCGCTAAAGGTTAAATTTTGGTAGGAACGCCCCTTGTGCATATCGAGTGAGTCTTCTTCAACATTTTTGCTTCGGTAAATCGACAATACATAACTTGGTTTCAGGGTTTCCTACCTAGCGCGGGATTTGACGGGAGCTCGAGGGTTTATTGAGCTGATTGTGGCGAGGTGGATTCCGGATATCCACTCTTCCCAAGGCAGCAGCTCCTTCGTGTCTTTAATTTCTGATAAGACTCGAGACTAGAGTCACCGAATTAAAACATGGCAGATCTAAGTTGGAGAATATTTCATGGCACCATAATAAAGCGTTACAGAAACTTGAGGACTCGTGATAAGCCGGAGGAGGGTGAAGGAACACTATCATGTAGGTCTATTAGTATGAAACCTTGCGGACTCCCCAGTGCTCGGGAATTAGATTAGCTTAAGCGCTTTGATTTTTTGCACCCCTACCTCTGAGATAAGCTTCTCGGCCATCACAGAATCGCATTAATAAAACGGGGACCATTTGGCTAATAGATTCCTTCAGTGCTTTTCTCGTTGATAGTTGCGAATGCTGCACGTTTCTTGATATTTATGATTCTGCAAGACGTAAAGCAAGGATCTAACGAATCAATTCACTTGCATAGTCCTTTGGGAAGAATCTTCTGGCCCAACGTTATGAACTGATGAGGGCATAAAAGTTCAACAGCAGAATGTCTGATAAGCCATTCGTAATGAAGCTGTGGTGGAATTTGATCGTGGTTTCGCTCGACTCATTCTCGCTGATGCAGGAATTTGCCAAGGAATCCACGAGATAACAGATCCAAAGATTTGGCGATAGGTCGGTGGTAAATTTGAGTACCATGAAAGATTTGTGGCATTCTGTTCTCCGAACTTAAATCAGCGGTAAAATAAAATGCATGCAGTCCATTTTGGGTAGATAACCTCTCCGCCAACGCTATCTCGTACTCTATCGAAATTAGCCTGATTACGAAGGAAATCTGTTGTTACTTGTTATGCATAACAGTTGGCCAAAGACTTTTGAAAATCATGCATTTTTATTCATTAATTTTGGTGAATCTGGCAGGTGCTCGCCTATCTCACAACCAGTAGTCAAGGCTCAATCCGTGATTGGCAGATTTTACAATATGGGTGCCACTAATATTTGGTCAAGAAATTCTATTGTTAATTTAGACCACAGCCAATCTACATCAAGTTGTTGTATATATTTTTGCTTAACACTTTTCGCCTGGGATCTTGAAGCTCGAAACTCAGTAACATGCATACATCAATTACGAAGACAATCATCTCGTTTTCGGTCAAAATTTGATAAATTGTAGTCCACACTATCTTCAAACCGCTTTGAAGTCATACTATCTGCTACACTTTTCAGAGTTTGCCACCCTAAAATTAGCATATTCTTCTTCTCCAACGCTAATAAACTTATCCCCATTCTAGCATAAATTCTAGTGGAAGTTCAAAACCACGGAATTCTAACGTGTCGATTAAGTATCGAGAGTATATCAGAATACGAAGTTTTTAGTGCAGTAATAAGGGCCTTGGATGGAGGGCAAGACTCAAAACCTGTACGCGTTGTCCTCTACGAACCTGGGGGTGAAATATTCTCCCAGAGCCAAGTTCAGTCAAATTTTGCAATATCAAAGAAGTTGGCCCGCGAGGCAATGATTCAAATTACTCCTCCACGTCGTTTTTTCGCTCCCAACGAGTTTCATTCCTACAAAAGTCTCATCAGGCCTACAAGTACGACCAAGTATATCCTCATCCCAATGACCACATCTCTCATCGACCTTCTCTGGCCTCTGTTGATCCCCAAAAACACGCCCACGCCGATATTTATACCCGAAGGAGGAAGCAAAGCGTGGAGCACAAATCTGGGAGACAGTTCTCTAGGATGGATGTGAGAGAGTTCAGGACAAGTCTACGAGATGATGCAAAGGAAGGATACAATCTCGAAGGACGTGAAATTCTGAAATTTGGCAAGGAGTTTTACGAATTGGGCTTTGTTCCCGCCAAAGCTTCGGTTGCGAGAGTGCAGCTTACACTATAAACACAAGCCAACGATGAAAGGTGCCGTGGTCCGCCTCCTGGTGGTGTTCTCTGGTATAGTCTGAGTAGCCTAGGCACCTACTCCACTTGGGAAAGAGACACCTCAGATCACATTTCGCGCGGAGAAAAGTTGAAAGATGATGGAGGCATGTCTGGATAACTCAGGGGTTTTGAGACGTTCCCCTGGGTGGGTATTCACGGATGAGGGTTGACTTAGGGTGAAAAAAAAGCCACCATAACTTCGCGGTGGTACTTGCAAATGAAATCTGAGGCATGAGTGCTCTTCCTTTACGTTGAATCATCTATTCTGTACTTTTCTTTGATATTGTGTCATAGCTAGATAGCTGCATACCCAATTAAAATCTGATGAAAAAAAAGGGGCCTTGGATAATTCATGGATAAACAATGAGCTTATTTTTTCTACATGGGGCGAATTGCTTAAAATTTCCAATTATGCGTCGGCCAGGGAAGAAAGTTATGATATAACGCGGCATGAGTATAAAGGCAAGGTAAGGAGATCTTTACAAATTTTAAAAAAGAGATATGATGCCCTTGATTCAGTTTCCAAAAGAGGGATACCGGAAGCATGACGTTGGTGACGCTGGAGAATAATCCATTCCCAAATTGCGATTTGCTCGTGGGCTCATATTTGACCTGGGGTAATGTAGCTTTTGCTAATTAATATTAAGAAAAGGCTTTATTCAAATCAAAATTGATCAGGGAAGTGCAGTGTGCTGGATACTCATGGATTTAGGTGGCACAGTGTAAAACTTAGCCCACTTTCAAAGGGAATTAGCTTGCTCGAAGCAACAGCTATCAAACCTTTAGGTTGATTTTGGAGACTAAATCTGATCGGATCCATTCTGCTGAAGGGTCTCGGATTCAGTCATCGATCTTCAACCTGAGCCAGCATAGCATTTTAGTAGTTGTCTGAAATTTTGTTTCATACGGGACACCAGATTATCTTTATCTGCTGACGCATCTCGGCTCCCTAGGAAAGGACAAATGTCAATATATTCCCAGGGTTTGTCTATGGCTGATTCCAACGTACATGGGATATCCTTTAC